GCAACGCGCTCGCTTGCTCATCGAGGGCGCTGCGTCAGGACAGCGCCGCCCGTCGGCGCCAATCCTGAAGGATTCGCACTTGCAGAAGAGCCGGTTCTAGTCGCCGGCGCGCCGCGCATACGACGCGCCGGGCGGGTCCGGCACCTTCGCGACGGCGCCGCGGGCCCGCGGCAGATGCAGCGCGGAACAGACAGTGAAGATCAATTACTCATTCACCTACGCAAGTCGCCTTGCCATAGTCCTTGCTCAACCGAACTCGTCTGCCAAGGTGCCGCATCTGGGGCGCGTGCTGACGCGCTCGAATGCCGCCGGGAAGAGCGGGTGTGACCCTGCGAAAATACAAGTGCGCCAAGGAGATCAAAGTCTCGCTCCTCCATCCACCTTGGAAGTGCAAAAGCCAGTCGCCAGACTCCGCCAATTCTGGAACAGCCCGACGCCGCTTCTCCCTTGCCAAACCGAGAACGAATCTCATTCCAATCAAATGCTGCATCTTCTCCCTGCGCGGCCCTCTCCTGACCCCGCTGAGTGCGCTCCTGATCTTCCAGTTGTGCACCAGGGAAACTTGGGGCCTGCCCGTCTTGGCGCAGTGAGGCGCGCCGGCGAAGTCGACCCGCTGTGGCTGCGACGCGCCTATCCTGTGCAGCTCCATGTGCAATCACTATCTCCATGCCCCCCCTCGCACCCATCGCAGCTTAGGTGCCCGATCCACGCGTCGATGTCGGGGAGGAGAGCGGGGGGGGGGCCTTGGTGGGCGCCTGGTTCTTTCCCGAGACAACTCCCGCCTCGGCAATGCGTCGTGCAAGTTTCTAAACCACGTGTGAATGTTGTTTCCCGCGCCTGCGTTAGCTCGCGTTCCCACTGGGTCTGGAACGCTCGGCGGCCCCGACGTTTCAAGCTGTTGTGGGTTGCGGCGTGCTTTAACAACTGAATCGTCCAACCGTGCCTGTGCCTCCTCCGCCCCTGCGCATATTCGACGTCGCGCGCGTCGCGCATTGGCCCGTGATCGCCGCGCCCGAGAATCTTCGCGACCTGGGCATCTCCTCCAAATGTTTGGGCTTCCAAGCCCTGCGCAACCCTTTTTGGGTGGCCTCTGGATTAGAAAATGTGCATGCGCCCTCTATGCGGGTCTGGCGGATGAGATGCGTGGCCGTGTCCCCGCCTGCCTCATGCAATGCCGATTGCTTTCAACGTCGTAACGAGGCTTGAGACTCAGGCACCTCGCCCGCCCGAGCTGGACTCATTAAATCTGTTTTCTTGTGGGCGCGGTCAGGAACAGGCTCCGCGCCAGGTTCAGCGGGGCCATGCAGAACCGAGCCCATCACCAGGGGGATGTGAGCTACATTGTGGGTGGCGCCCTTCGCGATTTGCAGCTGGAAATCCGAGGGCTGCCAGGTCTCGAGCGCCCGCGCGCGGTGGAGTGCGCAGCGGGGGCCGGCGCACTCGCCGATGCGAGCGCACGCGTGCGGCTGAGAGAAGTGCGTGCCCAGGCGCGCGGTGCGTTTTCGCGAGCGCCGCCGTCTGCCGATTCAGCACTCGTCGCATCGAACCGCCCTTGGGGGTCAAGGGGCGTAGAGGCCAACCTCAATTTGTGTGAAAATAATCTGTAGAAGCGGGGGGGGGGGGGGGCGCGCCGCTGCGGAAACTTGCCCATCGCCTTCCCCGCCCAATCGACTCCCACCTGGACCCAGTGCCGTTCGGGCGCTGATTTGGGCTCCGTAGGGGCATCGCACGCGACGAAGCAAACGTCGAACGTCTGTGTGCGATAGCAGACCGCGCCGCCTCGACCCTGGAGAAACTCTGGAGGTGCCCAGAAAAAAAGGAACCGATCTTCCCGAACTAGAAGCATACGTTGCCGCTGCGTTGTGCTAGTGTGCGGCCCAAGGTGGAACGTTGCCGGGCTCGAGGAAGCCCCGCCGGCTCCTGCGCCGCAGCTGGTTTTTCCCTGACAAATCGCTCACCTCCTCTGTTGTGTTGCCCCCGTTAGGCAGGTGGCGTCTTTTGATTTCACCCCCCCCGAGATCGCACCACGCGGGCGAGCGGCGCCAGCGGCTTGAGGGTCGGGGTGAACTCCCATCGCATCAACCACGCAGCCATCGGCGCGCGCGGGGATGGGGCGCGCGCGGGCGGGGGCGCTTGACTCGCGATGCGCGGCTAGCCGCGCCAGCCAACGTGCCAAGTCCTGGACGAATGGCCCCAGGCGGAGCGGCGCCTCGACGACCGCGGCGTCTGCGGCGGAGAGGAAGAGGAGGGGCAGGAGTGGGGGGGAAGAGGAACGCATGAACCGAACGATTCTCCACGAGTAGTAATGTCCTCTCTTCTCGAGCGTCCTCGTCCTGGCCCTTTCTTGGGTCATCCATTTCTTGCTCCTCCTTTTTCTCCTTCTGCTTCCCCTGCGCCATTTCCTCGTCGTGCTCCGACTGCTGCTGCAGCTGTTCATCGTCCTCCCTGGTTCCTATCGCTGCCTCTCGTTCCTTTTTCCTTGTGCCGATCCTCGCGCCAAGTCCTTGCTGCTGCCCGTCCTGATCATGCTCCTCCGTATCATCCTTCAACGTGGTCGTGTTCGCCCTCCTCGCCCTCCCCCTGGATGCCGCTGCTCCTCCTCGTTCTCGTCCTCATCTTATTCCTGCTCCCGCGCGCTGGCCTTCGCCCTGGCAGCTCTCCCGGTCGTCCTGCCTCGCCCCTCCCCTCCCGCCGCCGCCAGTGGAGCTCGTTCCAGGGCTCTCGCAGCGTCGCTGGCAGAAATTACAGCGTGGATTTCGCAGGACGAGCGCGCAGGAGCATTACTTGTTCAAGGCTTCGAGCGAGCAGCCCGCCAGCGCTCGCACCGTCGAGCTCGGCGGCCGAGCGCTGTGCCGCTCCAGAGTCGCGGCAGGGCATCGAGCCGCCAAGTGGCGCAAAATGTGGGCGATGCACGATATGGCGTCTTCGGGTCCATCCGCGCCCGCGCGCGGGAGGGGCCGTCGGAGCCTCTGACTCTCGCGGGCATTCGTCGCGCCTTGAGGGCGATGGCAGCGCGCGCTGGAATGGGCGCGGACAAATGGTCTCCTATAGATCTAGAACGTTTGCCCGACGACGCCCTATCTGAGCTGGTGGCCTTGTTTGCCCTCTTCGAAGAATGCCAGACATGGCCGCGGCAACTCGCGGGCGTCGTCGGCAGGCTGCTGCCGAAGAAGAGGGAGGGCCAATTTCGCGTGATCGGGTTGCTCCGTAAGATTTATCACGTATGGAGCATGGCGCGTGAACCAGTGCTGCAGCGTTGGTCATCCGAGAATCAGCCAGACTGCGACGCGGCAGTCAAGGGCAACAGTGGCATCCGCGGGATGAAGATGTGCATGCCCGGATGAAGATGGCCAGCGGACATGCGCGCGTTGATGGATGTAGCTTTTTACGATATGATGGAATGGGATAGTTACCGTTTTCACGCGTGCAGTTCGCTTCGGATTCCCAGCGGCGCTGCTGGGGCTGGACCTGCAGATCTGTGCCAGCCCCAGAATGCTCGACCAAGGGGGCGCAGTCTCGGCGCCGTCTCAGGCTGCCAGGAGTATCGTTCAGGGGCTCCGCAGCGGCACTCGCTTCGCGCGCTGTGTCACTGAATTGATCGTGGAGTGCCTCGCGGTGATGCGTCCTGGGCTGTCCGGGGGGTTGTGGGTCGACGACCTGTCTCAGTCGGCGGTGGGGTCGGCGAGGTGCGCTAGGCAGGGGCCGATCAACGGAGCGACCTCAACCTTGGATCTCTTGGCGGGCGAGAGGCTTGAGCTTGCCAGTCAGAGTGCCATATCTTGCTCTTCGATGGCAGGAACTCGGGCGATCGCCAAGGCTTTGAGGAAGCAAAGGGTCTCCTCCTCCTCCTCCTCCTCCTCCTCCTCCTCCTCAAACAAACCCCCCCGAACGAACATCGAGCATCTGCAGTCAGCCGTGACGACGAGCACCGTCGCGAGCCCCCGAGCACATCCGAACGACGACCTCGACGCGCCGAAAGCTGCGAGCTGGACGCTTAACAAAATCCTCCTTGACCCCTGTCTATAGCTTTTCGCCGTGTCTCTTCCGCCGTGTCTACATATATCCGTTTAGGCGTGTCTAAGCGTGCCGAATATTCGCGTCTCTATTTCGTGTATAAGCGTGTCTAGCACACACCACGCCCTGCTTTCGAATCGCGCATTCATGTGTCCGAAACTTGGCGTGAACATCTGGCTTCGACTGTGCCTGATATCGCATATTGCTGTGTTGTTGGCCGACCAAGGAAATATTATAGAGGGGAGGAGGATGAGGATGAGGATGAGGATGAGGAAGAGGAGGAGGAGGAGGGGGGGACGAGGAGATGCAGTGAGTGGGAGGAGTGGGGGGAGGATGGGGAAGAAGAGGAGGAAGAAGAGGAGGAGGAGGAGGAGGAGGAGGAGGAGGAGGAGGAGGAGGAGGGGGGACCTCAGGAGGAGGAGCAGCAGCAGCAGCAACAACATCTGCAGCAGCAGCAACAAGGGCAGGAACAGGAGGAGGATCGGGAGAATGTATATTTGCAGCGGGGGAATCGCGATTGCGCTTCGGATTCCCTCGCAGAACATTTCCCTGTCCCATTTCCAGCCGTCGGAAAACAGCCATTTCGCTTGTGACTTCCTGTTTTTTTTGGTTTGTTTTGTTTTGTTTGTTCTCTCTCTCTCTCTCTCTCTCTCTCCTCATCCTTCACTTCCTCATCTTCCTTCTCCTTTTCCTCCGCCTCCTTCTCCTTCTTCTTCTTTTCTCATCGTCCAGCATCCTCCCTTCTCCCCAACTCCATCCTTCCAACTGACATTGAAAATAAAGGCAGAAAACAACTGCATACACACAAACTTCGAAGCTCCGCGCGGGTCTTTTGGATCTGCGCTGAAACCCCTTCCCTGGCGCGCGGAGCCCGTCAAGGGAAACGCTGGAGGCGCCGCCAGGGGGGCCCAGCGCCGATCCAAGAAATCCGCGCGGATCTCCGACCATTTCTGCTCACTCCGTGGTATTCTTCTTCGATGCAAAGCGGTCTCCTTCTCGCCCAGCGACCTGGCTGTGGCCGTGCGCGGCGTCTCCAGCGTCGAGCTGCTGGAGCGCGCCGTCAACTGCAACGGGCACACCAACTCCCGGCCGCCGGCCTGGTACGGGCCGCCGACGCCGCCGCCGTCGTCGTCGTTGTCGTCGTCCTCGTCGTCGCCGTAGCTGCCACCGTCGTCGTCGTCGTCATCGTCGTCGTTGTCGTCGTGGTTGTCGTCGTCGTTGTCGTCGTCGACATCGTCGTCATCGTCGTCGTCGTTGCTGCCCTCCCCATCGTCGCCGCCGGAGATCGATCGAGGTTCGAGGTTTCTGAACGTTTTCGGGCGCTGGCGATCGAGGCTCGATGCCCGAGGACATTGAGGCTCGATGACCACGAGCCGTGGATCGCCAGTGCCGCCTGCGGCCTCGTCTGCCTTGGCCTTCGGGCGGGCCCTTCCCATCGCCACCACCGGCCGCAACTCGCCGGACAACCGATGGCCCGCCCGGAGGGGCCCGGGGCCGGGGGCCGATCATGAGCAGGCTGTGCTCGGACAGCGCCCCGCGCATCATCGCGGAGGCGCCGCCGTCAGCGCTGGCGCGGGCGTCGCCGTAGGCGTACGGTGGTTCGGGGAGAGCGGTTTCTGATTTTCATATTTCCTGTAACGCTCGTTACCCGCCTGCACCCCGGCCCGCCTCCGGCCGCCTGAGGCCCCGCCCGCCTGTGCCCTGTCTCCCCAATTAGAGCTGTGCGTAGCCCGCCTAGCCTTTACCGGAAGAGGTTCGCTCTCGCCCCGCAGATGTAACGCTCGTTGCCCTGCAAGGGTGGGGGTGGTGGAGGTCGGGGCCCCGGACAAAAGGTGACGCCCGGGCGGGGCGGGGCATGTTGGGGAGGCGGTGCGGTGGGATCGCCATGGTTCGCGCGCGAGTGCAAGCAGGTGTTGTGGGGGGGTCCAGGCCCCCCTCCCCCCACTCGTACTATGATTGCAAGTACCCGGGGGGGAAAAAAGGTTTGGCCCGGGTGGCAACCGTTACGCGCCAGAGGATAAAAGAACAATCTCGGAGGTGGAATAGGAGGAAGACGATGAGGAGCAATCTCGCCCGCGGTCCCTCTTGGTGGCGGGGGTTGTGACCCCCAGGCATTCTCTAAAGGAAGGGAGGAAGAACAGGAGGAGGAGGACGATGATGAGGAGGAATATAAACCGAAATCTCATCAACGATGTTGAAATACACGCTCCCTCCAATAGTCCTCTTCGTAAGCCCCTACAAATAATGGTTTCCACTGAAGAGTCGCCCCGTTGGGGGACTGCCGTGTGACCATTGTGGAGCGTGCCAGAATACCATTTTCAGGACTGCAACGCCACGAGTAACCTCACCGTTACGTCTTGGCGATCCTGAACCGCGCCAGAATACAACTCCTGGGATCTCAGCACCGCAAATCAAAGTTACTGTTGCGCCCATGACAATCTTGAATCGTTCCAGAACGCCCTTTCTGGTATTAAACGAGCGGTTCTAAAACGAAAACCGCACTTTGAAAAGAAAGCGCCCTCAAGCCATTGCATTTTGCAAATGTGTACACGAATGTGCGCGGCGCTAATGCGAGAACCACGTATTGAAAACGACTCGCCCTCACTCCGTGCAACTCTTGCAGATTTTGAAAACGAGAGTGCGCGGCGCTTGGGCGAAATAACATGTTGAAAACCAACAGACCTCAATCCGTGAAAGTCTTGCAAATTCTTAATACGAGAGTGCGCGGCGCTACGGCGATAACCACATTTTGAAATCGACACGCCCTGGATCAATGAAACTCCTTCAAACTTTGAAAACGAGAGTGCGCGGCGCTAAAACGAGAACCACATTTTGGAAACCACTCGCCCTCAATCCGTGAAACTCTTGCACATGTTGACAACGAATGTAAGTGGCGCGAACTACATTTCGAAAACTATCCGCCCTCAACCTGTGAAACCCTTCAACTTGTAGGACGAATGCGCGTGGCGCTGAGGCGAGATCAACATCAAGAGGCACCCGCCCTCTATCGGTGAAGATCTGGCAAAATGTTCAAACGAATGTGCGCGGCGTCAAAAGCGAGAGCCACATTTGAAAAAACACCCGCCTTCCATCTGTCAAAATGAAGTCAACTTTTGATCATCAAGGTCAAAAATGGTGCGGGAGTCTCAAGCGAAACGCCCAGCCCGCCCACTCGACCGGCCTCGTGGTGCGACAGAGAGAAATTCATCTACAAGAAAAGGAATAGGGGAGTAGGAAGAAGGGAGAAGGGAGACAATGTCAGGAACTGTTCGGAACTGTTCGGCGGTCTCCGAAACATTTCCCGAGCATCTTGTCGATCCTCGGACGTTTGTTGGTGCGTTAGGCGATTTCTCGTGGTTTCCGGACAGAATTGCCGGAGATTTCCGGGATGGGAGAAACAGGGTTGATGTGGGGTGCAGAAGCGAGGTGTATGGTCGGGGGCCTGACCTGGCTGGACCCGCCCCGAGATTCTGGCCAGAACCCGCTCCAGGGAATGTCCAGAATTTGGGGGTCGCTGTTGTGGGGGAGGAGGGGCATTCTATTAATAAAGGCCCGGAAATGGGCACCAACACCAACACAGGGGGTTGTCTCCACTGAGGGAAGATGATCCTAGATTCTGGTTTTGGTAATAATAATTCGGCCACCTTGGAAGCCAGAATCTTACAACCATCGCCGAGATCGGGATCTTCTCCCCGCGGTGGAGGCACACCGCCGGAATTGGTGTCGGTGTCAACCTCTAGGCCTGCGATATTACCCCTGACATCTCGAGCGCATTGAAGAAACACAGAACGCGGCGGGCGTTTCTCCGCGATGTCGGCACATGTCGGCAGTCTTCGGGCCCCAAGGCCGTTCAACTGGGTAGTCGAAGCCAATCTGGCGCCAATCTGGCAGGCCCAATCTGGCAAACGGGGGCAATCTGGCGAGGGAGCCAACGCGAATCCAGTCTGGCGAATAACCTAAATCCTCCAATATGGCCAGGCCAGCTTGGCCCTTGGGGCCCAATCCAGTCTGACAGTCTGGCCTTCGACTACCCAATTCAACCACCTGCGATGGAGCACCGGTGCCAAAGAGGGGGGCTGGAGACCTTCAAGGCCCACGTCGCGGTAAAACATGTGTCTCGAAGCTGTCAGGGCATTTGATGTTTGTTTCCGGTGTTCAATTTCCGCGGTTGGAAAATTGGGATCGGATGTGAAACGGAACTTGAAACCCAACGCATGATGAACGCGCCATGGGGAACATCACGTAAACACGCACATATTTGTTTTTTTTTCAACGACGCCAACAAAAAAAAACTCTCGAGGCCCCCCGAAACAGAACACAAGCAGCGCATTGCTCTTCGGTGTGCCCGAATCTGTGGCCTCCCTTCGGGCCGCGCTCGCGAGACAGGGCTGCATGGGGCGCATGTCTGTTGGCAGCGTGCTTGGCGAAACTACCCGCGTGCGCACTTCCGCTGCCCGCTCTCCTCCACATCTCGATGCGGCGCAATGGCGTCTTGCTTTCGTCGGGGGGCGGGCTCGCGCGAACAGGCGCGGGGCGCGGTTCCGTTCCCCCCAGTCGCCGTCCGAGGGGGCGCCCTGATCGGAGGAGGTGCTGCCGTTTTCGAACGGCGCGGGCTCCAGCACCCCCCCCATGTCGCCATCGTCTGCGTCCGTTTTCCTCTCCGCCCGGGGCGTGAGTTCGAAACAAAACTGGTAGCCGTGCTGAAAGCAACAAAGAACAACCAGGCGGGATCAAGACAAACAACTGGAACATGGAAACGGGAAAGCACCGTTTCAATCAACCCCCATTGAAGCTTCAAGGGGCATCGTTGAAATCCCCGATGCAGGCCTCGACGGCGCTTCAGACGAAGACTTTCGCGCCCTTGGAGGACGACGAAGTCTTGGAGACCGTGGAACACGTTTTAGATGAGGAAGAAGCGGGCGCAAACGACACCGAGAACTGCCCGAACCTGCGCTCGTCGAAAACGGCACCGCCTCTTCCGTGCCGTGCGTTTCCGCCGACACCGACTGAGACTCGCAAGGGGGGGGCCCTAACTTGCATGCGAGGGACGATGGACCATGTGGGGAAGCAGGGAGACGGAGGACAAGACAACAGCACCTCGAACACTGGCGAGCCACGATGCGAAACAGGCAGCGGGCACGGAACACCAACCGTGGTTCCTGTCTACTGAAAAACAAATTCGACTTAGCCAACAGCGGGTACAAGTCGTGACATACACTCGGGCCGCTGAAATAAGGAACGGCACATGAGGAACGAAGCTCCTTTCTGGCCCCCCAGATCGCCAGCGTGCACGAGGAAGGCTAGAGGGACAACCACAACATGACCTGAGGAACATCGAGCTCCTTTCGTACGCGGCCTAAGCGGTTCCTTATTTCAGCATCTGGGCTGTATCATTATCCGGGCGAAGGGCGGCCCAGCCACAACCAGCTCTGGGTGCCGCGGGGCAGGTGCGCAGGAGCAGGGGGCCAGGACAGAGGACTCTGGCGTTAGGTGGGGCCTGTCCCCCTACAGGGGGATCTTCGACGAAAAATATAAAGATACCCCAAAACATAATCAAAAAGTAGTCCAACATTAATCTGGGGACTACTTTTTGAATCTGTTTGAACCTTCTTGGGGTATTTTGGGGTATGTTTTATTTTTCGTCGAAAATCCCCTTGTAGGGGGACAGGCCCGACATAACTCTGGCGTGGGCTGGGGGAGGCAAGGCCTCTGAGCTCGCGGGGGGTGCACTATTTGGCGCGAGCCTCGTACAGTCGGGGTTGACTGGAGAGGACACGCGGGAGGGCACAAGACCCTTCCCAGGGCCACGTTGCCATAGGAGTGTGAGAAGGCATGGGTCGCGAAGCTCAGGACGGAAGGGTACCCTCGATCTGGTAGGGTCGACCCACTAATCTCGGGTCGGGCGAAAGGGGGGGATAACAAAGCGGGGGGGGATTGAGAATCAGCTCACGTAGCTGATTTTCCGGGCGCCTCCCGGCGCCGGAGGCGACGGTGTATCGAGGACTGGGCCACTCGGTGGGGCCGAAACCAGCTGCATGCAGCAAATTTGGTACCCCCCCCCTTCCCATTCCCCCCCTTTTCGTCCGGCCCGATCATC